AACAACAACAACAACAGCATTGTAAATTTGATCCCATGTAAATAGTTCTTAAAAGAGCACAATGTTCAAGGCAGACATTTCTTACTAGTTAAACTATTATTTGGTTTTAAGAAGACTTTAGGGGATATTTTTGGTTTAAGATTTAAAGATTATACCTGGACAGTAGTTACACGGGTTCACCTGCCTTCATGACTCCAGAAAGTCTAGAGTCTATGAGAACTTGAAATTCTGTTCTGTATTGCCTCCCTTTTGATCATGATTCTTCTATAGAATTTTTGAGCAAAAAAAATGTTCAGTAATGGTAAGTAGGCACCATCTTCTGGTTCTTATGATCTTCTAACAAAGGAGGCGGTTCATTGAGGCAATTAACCACATATTCTACTTCCTTCTCCTATTCTTGACTCCTTCCTCTGTTCTTCCAGGCAAATACAGACCAATTGTTACACAGGCACTAATTTTTTTGTTTTTGTTTTTGTTTTTTTTTACACTTTCTACTGTAAACTGACTGAAGGTTTACAGAGCAGATCATCAGTTTTACATCCAACAAATCACACACTTTGTTTTATCTCAGTGATTGCAATCCCTTCCATGTAACAACAGTTGTCTCACTTCTTCCCTGTGATTTCTATTCTTCCCTCCTTCCCAACTCCTCTGAACCTTGTCCCCAGGTAAATGTTGCCCTTTTGATCTTGAATGGTTGCCATCCATGTTGAGAATACCTCATTAATGTTGTTGTCTATCTTATATGCCTATCCACTGCTTTGTTGAAAATTGAGCCATAGGGTGAGTTCTATTTTAGACCTGAAGAGTAGACAAGGGCCATGTTCTCAGGTCTCTCCAATCTCTTTCTGACAACTAAACTGTTTTTTATAATTTTGAGTTTTGTTCCTTATTGTCTCTCACTCTATCTGGGGCATTCTAATGTGATCCTTTTCAAAGAAGCTGGTAGTTACCATCTAGTTCTTATGAGCTCAGTCGTGATGCCTTATGTTCACATGTTACATTAGAGCATTGGACTAATTGATTCCAAGCATCTTCAAGTTTCATCACTCTTCTTCCACGCATGGACAGACAAATAGCTACACCTTAGATGGTCAGTCATGAGCTTTTAGGATCCCAGTCTCTACTCACCAAAGTAGGATGTAGAACACTGGCTTTGTGGACTATGTTATGTCATTGATTATGGTGTCTCCTGAGACTTAGACCCCAGGCCCAGCAACTTGTTTCCTCGAGGTGTTTGGCAATGTCTAAGCAGTTTTCATCATTTTGTCTCCTGTATGCTCTACCACATTCACAGGTGTGTTTTCAGCAGAGGTAAATAACCATGTACAAATATCCTCTGTCAAACCCTTAGAGATTTATGTGTATACTCCCTACCTTTCTCCCCTACCCCTTCAGCCTGCAAATCTGTCCTTGAATCTACGCTTAGAACACTGTTGTTGCAGGATTGTGTATATAACAGTATTTACCTCTATCTCCTTTAACCCTTGCATCCCTCCCTATGTCTTCATCGCCCTTTTGCCAACTTCTCCTTGTAATATATTGCCTTCCCTGTCACCTGAGTTAATACGTCTACCCTCTAGCCAGTGAATCATTCTCTCTTCCCTCCCACCCTTGGTAACCATCAAAAAATGTTTCTTTAGCATGAAAACCTTTTCTTGAGTTTTTACAATAG